AAGTTAGTTTTAAGATTAACAACTAAGGTTAACGACCTGTCTTATTTGCTTTTGGCTTGAAAAGATGGGAAAATATTGAGGTGGAATAGAAACAGTTGATTTGGGTACGTTTGAGGCCGAAATACCTCATCAATCAATTGGTAGCATTTTACTCATTTAAGTCCATCAAAATGTATATCTTCATCTTTGCTATTTTGATGAAACATTAACCTTGAGGAGGACGTGTTTAATGAAAGAATATTACACTATGATTTACATCCGGGGAAGCAAGAGGGGCCTGTAGTTGTAGGATAAGGACTAATTCTTGGCTGCGGGAATCTTGAACATTGAGTTCTCTTTAAGGTGAGACTACACCAAAGAATGTCTGACTCGGATATTATTGCCAACAGCAGCATGGTGTTACATACTATGTAGTGCTTGCCTGCCTACAAACAAGTGAAGGAAGGAGGACGAAAGCTATTATAACCCCCGACTAAGTAATATCCGGGAGATGGAGTTGAAGCTGCTGAAACCCGATCATCGTAGTGAAATGGAAGGAAGGAAGACGGGTTGTTGAGGTTGTTGAACACTCTTGGGTTGCAATAAATCCAGTTTCAGCCCTTCATAGGAGGTACTCCGTTTCTCTTGTGCCTCGACGTGGAATCCATTTGTCCTGCTATTTAGTCACCCCTTACTGGTGATAACAACCTCGGAGCAGCAGACACCTCTGGAAGAATGGCGTATTATTGACGTGGAGAGGAGGTGGGAGATAAAGGCACAGCTGGAAGGTCGTGCCCTCAAGGCGAAATCAAAAGTGTCACATTTCCGCAAATATTTGTATGACACTCAAAATACAGATAATGACTTATTTTTGTCAGAAAAATATCCGTCAGCAGAATTGCTGATCTGTATTTTTGCCATAAAATTGAAAACATCAGGACAAGTAGTAGACGATAGTAGTTGAGTTTGCTGCTTCAGTTGCATTAAAGTCGAAATAAAGATCCGGATCAAATCCTTTTCCTTGCTTTGCAAACACGATAGAGGAGTTTTGGTGGTTCCTGTAAGTATTTCTTTTTCTTTACCTATAAGGGGCATTGGGTTAAAATGTCTTTTAGATTTGGTGGTTGGAGAATCTGCTTTGCTGTGCCAACGCTTGAAACCGACTGATCCAAGCAGCCCTCTCTCGAGGTGACGAGGGATAAGCGATGCTTAAAATTGGTATTACAATGTTCAAGTGAAGACCTTGAACACTTGTAACATATTTTGACAACTTCAACTACAAGAATTGAGAAATTATGACATGAATATTTGATTCAAAAGGGTGGGTAGGTTAGTTGGTTAAAAAGTCCTAACGAATTCAGCGCGCTTGCCGGCATTCACTCCACTCAAAGTGCATTCTTACATTTTAAGTAATCTTGCGGGCGTTTGGCCCGCCGAAGTCAACATTTCTTGCCTCACTAAATGCCGACGATTGTTCTGGTGGAGCTCGCTGCAAATATCATTTATCATTAAAAATGTTTTCATAGACAAATGAGGCTATTTCGTCACGAGCACTTCGATTATGGAGTCCCTTTCTCTCCTTCCGTCCTAATTGCTCACTCCACACAAAAAGTGTATCTTTACATCCGTTTGATGTTTAAAAAACCTGTCCGATTCACTTTAAGGACCTCCAAGTAAAGATATACATGTAGTTATAGCTACCAACTAAAAAATACCCAAAAACTAAAACCCTTTTGCAACACTCTGTTGACTAGCCTGTTTTTTGGGTAGTTATCTGAATTCTAGCTTTAATTTAAGGATTAAAGCTTTCAATTTTCATCATTTTCTGTTAATGTGCAGGAGTTTAAATCCCACCAAGATTTCATCCTGAGTAATCGGGTCCCAGACACCTCAATGCGGACGCCCTTATTTGCCGACGACGTGCTCATATATGGCTGCTGGTTGCCTGATAGAGAGTAGCGAGAAGAGGAGTGACGGATAAACCAAGTGGTTCTAATCTTGCCTCTTTATGGTATTGGAATAGCGTTGACATTGCAGGAGTTCTTAGCTCATCTAATGTCCACCTGCATTTGATGATGGCCGGTCAGGAGGGAGTGAATGAGAGTGTGAAGTTCAGCGAGGAACCAAAATTGACCTCGAAATAAAAACAACCCATATAAATCGGTACAGAAACTATTTCCAGATTGTAGGCAAGCTCAGCATTTTCGTTCTCTACTGTATCTGCTTCCTTCCGTCATTGACGCCTTTTTAGAGCCCTTCATAGGCGAAGCAGAAATAAATGGAGAGTTGTCTCACAAACCAGTAAATGGGAGCTCTGTAATGAAACGAAGTGCTCTGCAACCATGTAAATGGTAAAAATAGTGATGAATCAAAACTTTCCTTCCTAAGTGGCCCAAAATCTTGAACCGGAGTCAATAATAGGCGTCTGTATTGAAGTCAAGTCCATATAATTCAATTCATTCGTGAAAGTAAAAATTTCCTCTTTACCGAAACATTGTGCCCCTGTTTGAAGGATGTTGATAATACAGGAATATAACAACTGAAACAATTCCTCTCCATTCTGAATGCCTGCCCAAGTCTATACGACCCAAATTGGACAGCTTGAAGCTGTAGTTCACGAGTCTAGATCCACTTTACTACGTCCATGCAAATAAGAGAGCAGTTTGAAATCGCGCCGCCTTGTCCATACCTCATCGAAAAATTTGAGCGACTCGCAATTGCTGATCTATCATCGTATCGCACCCGTATGCAAGCGGCTCCAAGCTCAGTGATACATTAAACAGAGGATGTGGTTTGGATGCTGAAACTACCCGGTTGAATTAATGTACACACACAATGCCAAGGTCCTCATCTCCCCTGAATCAAGCCTTTTTATAAACAACTGCTCTTCATATTCCTCATCTTTCCCTCTTCAACATCTCTATCGGTTGGGTCAAAATATGTCTTGCTATTTCGTTTGCGTAGTTGTCTATCAAGGCACCACCTCTGCTACCATAAGACACTTTCTGCCTTGTGAAAGCTACTTACTAGTCACTTCAGTAACACTGGTAAGCATTTGAATTCTGTTTGCTTCTAGTTTAAGTACATCATGTCGACACTCTACGAGTACCTCAACTACCTCAACGAGACAAATCTCCCTCCCAGTGGTCAGACTTTGCCCCTCCAACCAAACCAAAAGGAGGAGTTGAAGCCACGCGATCAGGCAATCAAAGTCTGCATTGAGCAAGGGTGGGTCATACCTAAAATTTGCTTTCACATATTTTGTTTTTTTTTTAAAAAAAACCCAATGCCTTTTAGTAGCTTTCTTAAAAAAATTACACAAACACAGGATGTTTCTGTTTGCGATCCATGCTCCCATTCACTTTTGGAAGATATTTTTGTTGTTGGGTGAAAGCAATCAAATCTAGCCCTGGTCGCCTCTGCTTCATACCGCTTTTTCTGTTTCGCATTAAAGCATGTGACTGTGCGAAATATGACAATCATCACATGGAGTGGGACGAATGGAGGAAGTGCGAGGAATGAAAATGGTTCAGTGTCCCTCACTCTCTCTCCTTCCCATTCCAAATGACTGGTTCTAGTTGTTTCCTGGGTACAAGTTTTCCTCACAGGAGCCCGTGTAACATCGAGTAGAGAGGGCTCATCTGTAAACGATGGTACTTCAGCCACTGAAGAATGCAATGATAACACACAAAGATGAATTGCGCACCCTTGAATTGTGGAATACCGTATCTCTTAGTTTGAGACAAACGTGGGCCAGCCTCTTAAGTAGGGAGGAGCATTATCTCCAGGAATGACGAGAAGGGCGTCTGGTTATTCGTGGAGTAAATGACCGCTTCTTTAAGAACATAGAATAAAATTTGTTGTCTGTTAAGCACTTTTTGACTTTTAAGAAATATGGGAACTGGACCAACCGTAGTAACCGGACAAGCCTGACCACAGGGCTCAAATAGTTTGACCTGATATATGAGAGCAGTCACAAAGGGGTGAAGAACTCAGCAAATGTCGTTTGTAACCGTCTTTAAAGGTGATGTACTGTTACATGCTCTGTAAGACTACTAGTTGAAGGTTAGGCACCCATGAAGGAATGAGGGTCCCTCTCTAGTGATGGGAAATTGACACAGTGAGGTGACCGGTGCAGAACCCTCCCACTGTCTCCAGCAGCGACTACACTCAGGAGAGGCGAAAAAAATGTCGGCCTTTTACACGTAAAACTAACCGGAAAAGAGAGCTACGCTATATCTGCTGTAATACGCCGGGTCTTCGCCCTCATCGGTGGAAGACAAATCGGTACGCCAGAGTGCCAAGTTAGTCTACAGAGGTCTTGATGTGTGTCGAAACTCTTCCCTTAGGAATTAATGAGATCTTGGGGAAAGAAAAATGGATCTCAATCGCCGGTTGCTACTCACTAATGGCGGGAAATTGCTAATTGAAGGAATAGAAGAACTTAATCCTCATTACAGGCATCTCTCTTTCCAAGGAGCAAAGCTTTACACAATCTCCTCAAATGCCTTCAGGCACCACAGATTTATATGCCTCTCACTTACTCTTTAGGTGGAACAAGGGAAAAATTGGTCTAAAACGTGTTTCGGAAAAGGGAAAGATATTTAAAAATTTGAGGTAGTAAAAAAGTCACCTTTGTAGATAAAGAAGATTTGCAATGCGTGGGACTGTTCTGTGGAGGACAAGAAGGAGATCAAAATCCAATGATCTGATTATCTGCGATGATCATTCGATTAAACACATTGGACTGCCATAAAATGAATTTCTTTGGTAGGGTTTCGAGCACCCAGATTTTGGAATTCATGGTAACCAGGGGGCCAAAACTCAAATGATGAACACAGGCAAAATGGTGCACTCTTTTTGAAGAAAAAAAGTCGTCAGATAAATCGCAACAGATTTGATGAGGAATGCTTATTTAGAGTCAAATCTATCTCCTTGCTTCCCCAACTTCGAGTCGACTCCACCCCAACGCCAACAACAATAGAAATCCCAAACATGCAAAAGATGATTTAGCATCTCAAGTTGTGTTTCAAATTCAAATCCACTGTGATCTAGGGCTGCACTGCTGAAGGCTGGTATGACCAGATTTCGAAGCCTAAAAGCGAATGCAAAGGTGGATGCAATGTGAGACAGAGCATTTGAATTCATAGCTACTTCACTGTGGTTCAATTAAATGTGGTAATACCCCGCACCCGGAGGTCCGTATAGTGCAGTCACCACCGGGAGCATATAACCCAACGACTTAACAAATCTAATCTTAACTGTCTACTTTGATTTGCCATTTCTCCCACCGGTACAACCAAGATTTCAATCACTGCAAGTAAGCTTTGTAATCGCCTTTCCAGTAAATTAATGTCGATGTCACGTTTTGTCTGCTTCCGTCATAAATTCGTTTTGAGAGAGCATTTAACATCTGGGTGTGGAAAAAAGATGTTTTGTACTCATTTAAAGGCGATTAGCCATCTGTCACCATCATGCAGTTTTAGGTGTGACCTGAATGCATTAGCTTTCCCATCAAGAATGGCTATTCGATTCACTAAGTCAAAGGTACGAATATTCAACTTCCTTTGGCGCAATAAAGAAGACTGAGTTCTTCCCTTCCCTTTATTTTCTTCCACAAAAGAATTGAAGGCAAGAAATAATTTGGCTTTTATTTCAGACCTTAAAAGTTGTATTAACGACACCCCGAATCTACGATGTGACAATTCTCACAGACCAGTGCTTTTAAAATACACACATTTTGTGACTATTCATTTACTTTTGAATTCAGCAACCCTTTGAGGAGCTATTCCAGTGGCAGTGCTTTTCACAAACCTACAAAGAAGGTCTTCTAAGCCCCATAATAGGGCATTCCGCTAACGTAAAATCAGGACGCTTCTTTTTTTGGCAAAAAGCGCACTATTTGGGGTTTTTAGTCAAACGAAATACCCGCTAGACATTAAAGTGCTGCCATCGCCTCCAGCACTAATTTGCGAATCGGATTCTTCTTCATTAATCATTTGTTTTCAATGAAAACATCAGCAGCCAAGTTCACATAATGTAGGACACTTGATTAAACATTTCCTGCGCCACACCTGACCCCATCAAGGAATGTCAGATTTTCCCGTCCATCTACAAGACTATAAATGGTATTCTTTTGCAGAAAGGATTGTTTGTTAAATAAGGTTTCCTCCTTTTCGACTTGTGGAGTTTCAGAATAATAAAAATAAATTTCGCTGATTTTATTACCAGCTGAATAAATGAAAACGAGTTGTATTATGCTCACAAAATTAGGAAAGTTGGGAGCTGCAAAAAATATATAAAAACGGAATTTCTCCCCTACAGTTTTATAAACTTAAGAATTACTCTTTTGTACATGTAAAAGATGAACCGAACCCACTAATATTAGGATTTAGGAAGATCCGTGGGATTTGATGTCGCCCCGACTCCGGGGTCATGCCAAACCCATCTAACCGTGGTAGAGGCGATGGATGATATTTTGCGCAG